CAAATGGCCAAAAATAAATATTTTTTTCAGTTTCGTCTTATCATTATATAAAGAAAATTACATCATTAAATATACTTGATGTGATAAGTAAAATAAATTATTTTTGTGACGCTGCAGCTCTTGTGTCACAAAATATTATCATTTTAAATTTTGCATCCAGGTGATGCAATACTTTCGACCGCCACTGTATATCCCTTTAAACTATCACCTTATTATGCGGTTAGACAAAATATTTTAGTGACCGTTTTGCTGTACTACTGTTGCAATATCAATACACTGTAAACCTTTAATTGATTGGAACTGACGGTAGGTAATGCGTGATTATAAGTTTAGTAAAAGGGATCTCACATTTTCATCAAAATAGAGGATTCCACTTATCCTAAAGACAGAAATTATCAATACATAGAAATTCCTTTGTAGCAAGATAATTGAATTATTGGAGTAGCAACTAACAACACGAAACATCGCTTACACGTTAACACATCAAGTACTTGAAATGAACAATCGAGCAAGTAATATCACAGAAAATTTCTAATAGATATTTCAAGTAGATTGCGTTTATACTGTACATTCATGATTTCTTTGTTTTGAAATTCAGACTGAAATAATTAGTGTATAGCATTACGATGTTATACTTAATGTGGATTGTCGGGTTAAATAAGTCAAACGGGACGGGTTCTGACCCGATTTCGGCCTGACCCATTTTGACCCAACACTGATAACTGCACTTACTCGTGAGTTCATCAAGAAGGATGTAGGTTATTCGGATATTAGCCCTTCGTGTTACTGTCAGCAAAACGGTTTTTGTAAACAAAGCTATTTTCGAATAGAGCTTAACCAATCTCGTTAACTCAACGTAGCTGGATTAGTTAAGGAAGGCGCCAAACAAATGCATAGTCTAAACTAAACAGTATGATTACCTGATCGGATCAATAATTTATTTCACGTGGGAAGGAGAACCTGTGGGGTATAATATTAAAAGTTAAATAGAAACAAGAATTATTATATAATTTTTAAAATTTATTATGTACAGTACTGTATAATTTATAAAAATATACGATATAATAAATGGCTAACCGTTTAACTATTTATTTGAGCAGTTGGTTAACTGGTTAAGAATTTTTTAGTCAGTTTGACACTGGAATTTTTCATTGTTTTACTGTAATTAAAATGGTTAATGAAATTTATAATAAATTTTCTATTTTCAAGTATACGTGTATTATGTAAATTTTCAAATACGTACTGTATATGAGCTTTTTAAATTTAATATAAAATAAAAATAAATAATTTTATTAATATATTGATTATCAAATTCAAAAAATAAGACCTTTATTATAATAATTTTATGTATTATAATAATCTTGTAAATATGAAAATAATAGTTAAAAACATTTTTCAAACCATTAAATAAAAATATTTTAAATTAATAACATAAATAATCTGGTATAAAAAGTTTTTATTTTAGTTTTGATTCAATAACTGTTTGATAATATAAGCTGATATATAAAAAGGTTTAACAAAAAATATTGTAAAATTTTTTTTAAAAAACACATAATATAAGTGTATATATTATAATGAAAATTAATAATAATTATTATTATAAATCAATAAATTTTAAAAATTTTAATTCTGTATAAATTTTAACTGTTTTACAAAATTCAAAAAAAATAATTAAATCTTATAACTTTATAATAAAAAATTCCAAAAAAGCTTTGATTTAATTTTATAAAAACTATAATATGAAAAAATAAGAATCAATAATTTTTTATTATAATAATTTTTTTTAATAATATTTTTTATATTTATAATATTAAATTTTTTAAATAAATTTTTTAACTTAAAATTTTTTTTATTTTTATAATAGTTTTTGTTCTATTTTTAATTTCATTTATAATTTTTATATTGCTTATATTACTATAACAATTTTTTTTTGATTCTTATAACAATTTATTATTAATAAAAAATAAATAAATCTATTTTTTTTTTATAAATTGAAATTGAAATTTATTATTATTATTAAAGTTTTATTTTATAACTTGTAATTAAAATCCAAAAAAAAAAACCATTAAAAAATATTTTTTATAAACAAATATTAAATATTTTATATGTTTTTTTTTAGATAAAAACAATTTATAGTCTGATGCAAAAGTCTTTGAACTTCTATTTCAACTTATAATTCAATAACTAATTGATAATACAATATAATATATATTTTTTACTTATTTAAAGATTTAAAGATTAATATTATTTAAAAAACTTTTTTATTAT